GTAAAATAGTGAAAAATAAACATAATTTAAATAGGATTAGAAAATTCTAATTATTTAGAAATATGTGAAACAATTTAATTGTATGCTTCTCAATTAGTGGTTTTAGAACAACATTATCAATTTTATTTTATTTAGTTTAACGGATGATCTAATTTATTTTGTTCACTTAGATATTTTTATTTTTATACAGATTTATAAAAAATCAAACCATAGAACCCTCCTTAATCTTAATATATAATAATTCATTAATCTAGACAATTAAAAAGAAAAATTATCAATTTATATTTTTATAACTCAATTTATATGTTCATTGAGATACAAATTTCAAAGGTTATGCGAAAAACCTACTTTATGTATTACGATAAAAAATATATATATATATACAAAACCCATAAATCCAGTTAGTCTGGTTCGCTCTTCCTCCTTACTCAAGAAAACATTTATCAGTTTTTCTCCTCTCTCTTTCTCTCAGATCTGTCTTGAGGTTTCCTTGTTCGAGCAATGGACGGTGGCGCGGAAGGATCTCAGCAACCTCACCTTGTTCTAGCCAACAAGCTCTTCCTCCTCACTCATCCCGATGTGCAAGACATCGAGAAAGTCCGCCTCAAGGCCGAGGTCTTGGATTCGATCAAATCCGATGGTTAAATAGCTTGCTTTCTCTAATCCATCACAATATGTTTCAGATTGCTCCCAGATTTTCTTCGCCTGATGCTGGGTTTGTGTTTTTCTTAGGTATGGCTCCCTTGTACGAAACCCTAGCGGCGTCTTCGGTGCTTGAGTTGGATCAGAGCTTGTTAGATTCTATGCGGGCTAATAACGAAGAGGAGCTTAAAAAGCTCGACGAGAAGTAAGTTTCCTTCTGAAAAATTGTCTTCCTCATTCAGTTTCTCAATTGGAACTGTAAACTTGCGTATGGATTTGATTCGCCAGTGCATTGGAATTCGTATTACCATCTGTTAGTTTAGATGGAGGAGAACTGTAGCATTCTAGATATAACTGAATGAGGAACATATGTTT